GCGCAGCACCGAGGGTTGCGATTCCGTTGCCGGTCCCAGTCCGGTACGGGCGCGACGCTGAGGGCTGCGATCCGTTGCCGGACACGAAAAAAGACAAAAAGGAAAAAAAAAAAGAACTATATAGAGATACATAGTTTTCCATACAGAAAACCAAGCAATTTCCAGACTCTAATTTTAATGACTAGTTATGTGATATTTTGGCTATTTTAAAAGTACTAAAAGGAAACTGTAGAAAAACAAGATATTAGACCCATCATGGAATAAAAGATTCAATGTTGTATCTGATAAGGAAGAAAGAGAAATATTAAAATTTTCCAAACATTCTTAGAAAGAATTCATACAATTTCATATTCTACCTACTTACATGGCATAATAAACCCCTGTGAGAAGTTGTACCATAAATTCAGGATCCAATACTATTCGACCACAGAGTTCTTTCCAATGTTTTTCATGTTGCCGTGGAAACCCACTCACACAAACCCTAGGAAAATACAGTATTTACCATGTATGATTTCCTGATTCATTAAATTGTCTTCGCTTTCATTAGTTCATTTATTCAATTTATTCATTCCTCAAATATTTACTGAGTGTCTGCCATGTGCCAGTCACTGTTCTAGGCCCATGCATATAATCATGAACCAGTAAAAGACAAAAAATAAATAAAAAATAAAATCTGTACCTTTATAAAGCATACATTCCAGTGGACTATATCCATAAAAGCAACAACTTCTCAAATACCTAACCATCTCTTTTATAACCACCCTTCTTTCTCTTTAAACATACACACAAAAAATGAATAACTTTAATTCATCCTAAACTGAATCAGGGTGAATTACTAGGAGGTATAGAAATCTCAAAACAAATAAAGGGACATTTCAAAATACTGCGTGAGGCTATCTATCTTTCATTCATTCATTCATTCATTTATGGCAACTGGCCAATATGAGGATCCAAACCCGTGACTTTGGTGTTGTGTTATAAGGCTGTGCTCTAACTAAGTGAGCTAACTGGCCAGCCCTGTGAGGCCTTTTTTTTTTTTTCCCCCTATTTCACAACAGGTTGATTTTATTTTCATCATCACCATAGCTATACCTTGTTGGTGCAAAATTCTCTGTCTACATGATTGGCCATTTCCTAGCAGCTAGACCTCTGGAGACTTCGCCAACAGGTCTGACGTCTTTGTCTACACCCTAAAGTTACTGGCTACATAGGTTGACACTTGAAGTGGCATAATTCTTCATGCTCTTTTGATCCTGCTCTGGCTCATTGTGACTCTGTCCTTATTCAGCCGATGATAATGGCCGAATGGTGTTGGCCCTCTCCCTTTCTTAGGTTGAATTGAAGGCGTGGCCATTTTTGCAGAAGCTTTTTTTCTCGAACTCTCTTGAAGGGGTCTTTTTACCTTCATGGCTGTCTTGAGCATCTGGACTTGCTGACATTGGCCACATTCATAGCCTTTACGTGCACAAAGATCTTTTCATCTATAGGCAGACCTGTGATGGCGAACTTGGTCTTCCTGATCAGATCTGTGTTTGTAGCTATCCAATCTTCAGAGTTTTGAGCCTGGGAAGTCCAGGGTCAATGTGTGCAACTGGTGAGGGCCTTTTTCTTGGTGGGGACTCTCTCTGTGAGACCATTTTTAATCAAAGTACCATAAACAACTCCCTACCTTCCATCTCATTAAGAGATGCTTCCAAAAAAGTTATGCTTAATACTTATCAAAAGTTGTAATGTATTTATATTATTTTAATCAATTAGTTTATTAGGATAATTGTAATGGTGAGTCCAGAAGAAATTTTTTGGTGTTTAGTGCCTTATGGTCTCAGGAAATTTTTTTTAAAAAATTCAATTTATCTACATATTTTTTGTAGCAGAGAAGTATAATTATCAACAGAGAACTGATCAATAGAAGAATTGCAAGTTGAAAATACCATTACATTAAGATGAAATTACGTGAGGAAAGTGGAACGGAAACTCAATTTCAAGGAAGCAAAAGGAACAGAATAACATCAGACTGTTAAAATAGAGCCTGTTCTTTTATTCCTCAAATGGATGATTGGGTTAAAAATTCAATTTATCTACATATTTTTTGTAGCAGAGAAGTATAATTATCAACAGAGAACTGATCAATAGAGAATTGCAAGTTGAAAATACCATTACATTAAGATGAAATTACGTGAGGAAAGTGGAACGGAAACTCAATTTCAAGGAAGCAAAAGGAATAGAATAACATCAGACTGTTAAAATAGAGCCTGTTCTTTTATTCCTCAAATGGATGATTGGGTATCAAATCACTGTGTTATTTACATTATACACATTTAAAGTAGTAACCCAACACAATTTTTAAAAAATTATATTAATATTTACATACTGGAAATCATATCATTTGCATGTATTTAAGATAAGATGAAAAATTTTAAATGTCCACTTAAAAACATACAAGGAGTACTTAGTTTTTCTAAATACTTTAGGAGACATGTGAACAAAAGCTTAAGGACTACTAAACTATGCCATCATTTTTGTTGTTAAGAAACTCTACTAAAGGCCACAATAATGTTGCCATAAGAGAGCTGGCAGATTTCTTTCAATGAATGAAAAATAGTCACTTATAAACAAATTTATCTGCAGGGTAGGCAGTAAGTGCTTAAACAGTGTATTCTCTTGAAAACAACACCTACGTTAGAGACAAGAACTTTGTTAGCCATTAATCATCATATTATAGGCAAGAGAAAATAATATATTTATGTTAACATAATATATAAAATCAAAGTTATAGCTAATTTTAGATTGGCTTTCCCCTGATTAGAAAAATTAATGTTTTGTTATAAACGAGATCACACTCTCTTCCAAGTGACACAACAACATATGAATTTGAGTAAAACATTTGTGGTGGACAGATTCCTGTGGGGCCATGATCCTTAATTTCTGGTATTCATGTCCTGTGTCATTCATCCCTTCCCCCTTGAGTGAGGGTGGGATCTGTAACTTGCTTCTAATCAATAGAATACAGCAAAAGTAATGGGATTCCATGATTATGTGTATGAGATTATGTGATTATGTTAATAAGATAATAGGTCTTGCTGGAGTCTCTCTCATTCCTTCTCTGGCTTTGAAGAAGCAAGCTGCCTATGTGGGAGGCCCATGTGGCAAGGAGCTGAGGATGGCCTCCAGCAGACAGCCAACAAGAAACTGAAGCCCTCAGTCCTACAACCATAGGAACTGAATTCTGCCAACAAAAGTGTTGAGTCTCAGTTGAGACTACAACTCCAGCCAAAATCTTAACTGCAGCTTTGTAAGACCCTAAGCAGAGGACCTGGCTAAATCATGCCTGGATTACTGATCCACAGAAACCATGAAATACTAAATGTGTGATATTTTAACGCTGCTAAAATTGTGGTAATTTGCCATGCAGCAGTAGAAAACTAATACAGCTATATTACTTACATTTTTTTTCTAAAGTGGAAATTTAAATTTCAGCCTAGATCTGTCCAAATTATTAGAAATTCTGATTTAATAAATATTATAATCTATGAGACACACAGAACACCCATACACACATACAAAGAGACACACACATAATTGGTGTTATTGCTAATCATCTTCTCCAACACAGGGATTTATTTGTGAAACATATAAAGGAAAAGGTTCACATTCCTTAAGATCTTCTCCATCCATAAGACTACGTACTCAAGCTCTTAAAGTGACAAATAAAAACTGTCAGCCAGGGAGTGATTTGGTATATCACTAAACAAACCTAAACTTATGTATCTTGGCTTAACTCCATGTTCAACTAGAAAATATTTCTTTAATGCTGAAATAATTTTCAAGAAATCATGAGGGATGATAAATATTCCCATAGGAATGTAAGCTCCACAAGGTTTGTTTACTGCTGTATCACCAGAAGTTATAAGAGTGGCTAGCATAGAGAATGTGCTCAATAAATATTTGTCAAATAAATGAATGAATATGAAGATTAATAATAATTACTCTTCTTACCTGGAGCCCATCCGACAAAGAGATTGGTAAGATGAGGCAGGCATATACACAATAGCAGAATTATAACACAACATTAGAAAACTCAGGACTTCAAACCTAGAAGAAACAAACACAAGGGGAAAAGATTACAATTATTTCTACTAGAGACTGTAGTAAGCGATTTATTCACTGGAAGGTTATAACAATGCCTTAATATTGACCTTCAGGGTTTCTCAATCAGATTACCATAGCATCCTTCTCAGTAATTTCCCTGTATCTATTCTCCTTATTACAAGTCATATACCTTGCTGACATCTGTATTTTCTTTTCTTTTTTGTACAGGGATCAAACCCTGGACCTTGGTGTTATCAGCACCATGCTCTAACCAAATCTGCTAACCAGCCAGCCCTATTTTCTTCTTTAAAAAATAAATCATCATGCTTGAACAGATGACTTGCACCAACAGAAACACACCATCTTCCTACTGACTGCATGATAAAATCCCAGCTTATCACAATGTCCTTAAAAAAATCACAGTCTTTATTACAAGGTCCTTTAAAATCCACCTTCAATCTACTTCTCCAGCCTTATTTCCCTCCACTACCCACCACATATATCACACTACATCAGTCTTCTTACCACTATATGAACATACCATAATGTTTTATAACTCCTTGCTTTTATTCATGCTGCTGCTTCTTACTACAATATACTTTTTCACTTGGGAAACTCCTGCTACTGGTCTCAAGTCCTGACTCAAATTTTTACCTTAGCCACAAAGGTGTTCTTAATTCTACCAGCTAAAGGAAACCGGTCCCTTATCGGTGTAGCTCTAACACAGCATTTAATCATACTGAATTGTAACTCTGCCTCTACCTCTGTTTCACCCATTTAGTAACAAGCAACTTCAGGACAGAGACCCTGATTTATTGATCTCTACCACTAGTGTCCAGCACAGTGTCTGATACATTATAATTGCTCAATAAATATTTATTGAATGAGTACTACTATTGAACGAATAAATTAATGGTTTCCTAATCTTCATAAACTCTAAGAAAGTGGCTCCAAGGTCCTTTTTAAAAACCTATATTCTGTGTCTTACCCAGATTGGCCCAATTAGAATCCCTAGGGGCAGGACCCAGGGAAGTTGTGCTTCTAAAAAGCTTCCCATAGATGGATGGTAAAGGGTATATGGAAACTCTTTGTACTATTTTTACAACATTTTTTGGTAAGTCTAAAATTATTTCAAAATGAAAAGTTGAAAGTCTGACTCAGAAGGAGTCATACCCTCAGATCCTTTCTCTTCACATACCTAGGTAAAAGAGTAGATATTCATTTTCTGAAAGGATAAAAGAGAGTTTCTACCTGGGAGCAGGCACAACTGTGATGGGGGCTAGGGGGTGGTGTGCCAGTGAAGGGGTATACCATACTGAAAACAGGAAGATTAACTGAAATATGCCCTACTGGATATTGAGACCTCAAGCTCTCTTTCTCAACAAGGCCACCAGAATGCTAGCAGCCAGACCTCTAGTTTAAGAGACTGTAAGAGTTAAGTCTAGGGAATTTAACACACTAAGAAGAAAGACTTAAAGATATGGCCTTGGGAAATTTCCCAACTGAATGGCCCAGTGAGATCACCCTATGATTATCAATTAGCCCTAACATGGTCAGAGCTTCTCATTTTTTATTCTCCTACTATTAAATATGAGGGGAAAAAACGATTACCAGAATCTAAGGAACTCCACTAATATAAAAAAGAAACTAAAATAAAGAAATAGAAAAAGAAAAACAAGGCAATTTGGAGGAAACAGAGCATGCGAAGAGAAAAAATAACTTTGAATAAAGCAAATTATCATTAACATTCTCAAAAATATAATAGAAGACCCTGTTTCTAAAAAAAAGGAAGAACATGATCTATTTTAAAAGACTGTTCAGAGAACAACAATAAAAAGGTTTTTGATATACAAAATAAAATTGTAGAAATTAAAATCCAAAAAAATAATTGGTGGATGAAGTTAAGGTAATTACCCAGAAAGTAAAGCAAAAAGAAAAAGATATGGCAAATAAGGAAAGGAAAGCTGACCACTCTAGGAGACAACATCCAAATCAAGAAAATTTCCCAGTCTGAAGGTCATGAGTTCCCAAATCAAAAAGGTTCACCTAGTGCTCAGCGCAATGGATGAAATAAACCCACACCAAGAAATATTACAGTGAAATTTCAGAAAATTAGGAACAAAGAATGAGATATGGGGTACAGGAAACAGTAAATCCACATGGGAAAAAGGTGAGGAGAATTCCCAGGATCATGGTCAACGAAGAACTGAGATAATAACCACACACCAGGCAAAGAGGGCAACATAGTTCAGATTAGAGTAAGTCAAAAGGCTGCAGGAGCCTCTTTTCAGGAAGAATAAATTGAGAGAATAACTTATGTGAATGAGGATCTTTTTTTCTTTTAAGATGACCAGTAAGGGGATCCCAACCCTTGACTTGCTGTTGTCAGTACCACGCTCTCCCAAGTGAGCCAACCCTACACAGAGATCCGAACCCATGGCCCTGGTGCCATCAGCACCACACTCTCCCAAGCAAGCCATGGGCTGACCCTGTGAATGAAGATCGTGAAAGGAGATTTAGACAACTAACAGAAAATTTGCAGGGGTTGAATTACAAATAATAATTCAACAAAGTAATAAACAAAGAAAAAAGAAAAAAAAAAGGACAATTATGAGCTCCAAGAAAAACAAAAAGCTCAGCACTGACTAGTTCTGCATGAACAATGGACATTTATAATAATGAGAAATCTGGGGTCCTCAGTGGCCTCAGGTGAGTACCCTTGCAATGGAGAAGCTGGTTTCGGGGTACAACAAGCAGCTGACTTTGTCAGGCAGTTCCACTCCTACTCCAAGAGCAAGAAGCAATGGAAAGCCTCCATGGAATTATCCTGTGACACCTGCCTGACTATGGCAACTACCTGGATCAGCTGCTATCACTCTCCATGGTCTGGGCCAACCACATCTTCCTGGGCTGCAGCTACAATAAAGACCTTTCAGACAAGGTGGTGGCAATGGCTGATGGGACTGAAGTGGAAGACCTGCCACAGTTTACTATCAGATGTGAATTAATAAAAAAAAAAAAAAATCAAGGCTAAGGCAGAACATTTATTACATTTTCATCATCAGCTACAGGCTTAGAAAGGAGGCTGGGATGAATGTGACAGTAACCACAGCAGCTAGCTCTTGAGCCTCCTGGTACTATCAACATAAAGAGTCAGCTGAAATGAAAAGGAATCTATCTAGATTAACTATTTAAAAGTTCTCACTCAGGGAGAGTTCGGTGCTGATAAAAGTTCTCACTCCACCAGTAGCTATTACTATAAAAGAATGCATGATATCTTTATCAACATAAAGAGTCAGCTGAAATGAAAAGGAATCTATCTAGATTAACTATTTATTTATTTATTTATTTATTTTTTTAACAGGAGAAAAAGGTTTATTTGTATGAACATAAGAACCAATGAAATAAGTAGCTGGCTCATTAAATGGTTAAAGTTAAAAGTCTTATACACCTAACTTAGTAGGGAGGGGGAGAAACAAATAGATTTATTTAGGAAAGACAAATGGGTTTTTAACAGAATAAAGGTGAGATAAAGCTTGTGATGTTTATCTATATAAGTGGACTTTCTGTCTTTTCAGGGCTAAAAAAACTCCTCTGGAGAGAGTATTTATGGTAGGTTTTCTCTTGGTCTCCCTCCTTTTTTTTGAAGCCTCCCCAAAAGGAAAGTTATTGCAGTCCTCATCTCTCAGAAGTTTCTGCTGTTAGTCAAATAAGGAAAACTCTAAGGTTTTTTTCCACATCTATTGAATATGAAATGTCTTCAGCTTAAAATAATCTTTATACTAACTCTGGGGTTCTGAGTGGGTCTCCACACAGCAAAGCATGGGATCTTTGGCTAGTTATTTATTCCTACTTCCCTCCTCTGTAAAATGGGGATAATTATAACACCTCCCAAATTTGTTGTGAGGATTGAGTTTGCAGAGCCCTTAGAAAAATACCTAGCACATAATCTCAAAAATGCATGCTAATTATTATCATGATTACTGTATTTGGTTTTTTTCCTTTTTTTTTTCCTTTCTTTTTCTTTCTTTCTTTTTTTTTCTATATATGATTACTCTACTTGAGATGATGCCCACAGAACTGGGCTAAAAGAGTCACCTGGAAGAAATTCTCAAAAGAACTGAAAGGACTTGATCTCTC